GTTTTTCTATCTAAGATACAAGTGTGTGAAATATATCCAATCATCTCACAAGTATAACATTTAACTCTAGGAAATGAGTTTCTTAATTTTTTACAATAAGTCTGTCTCTTCCTGAGTTTTAAATTTTTTTGACCTCAAAATAGGATTATTAAAATCTTCAAGTGTTGGGGGTATCATATTTTTTTCAAGAGCTTTCACTGTTATTCTAAGAAATGAATTTGCATCCTCTAACACAGTGTTATCGTATTTCAAATAATGCTATCTGTTTTCATATTCATCTTTAAAAGTTTTAAAATCTTTTTCCAATTGAGCATAGGATGATTTTAGAAGATCATTCTTTTTATTCAAGTCATCAAACTCATCAAGTAAGTTCATGTGATTGTTATTTATCAATGTGTGATCTTTCCTAAAGATTTCATGCTCTTTTCGTAATTCTTATATTTCTAGGTTTAGACTAGCATTTATTTCTTAAGTTTTCTATATGCATCATGAATTCTTTCAAAAACTTCTAATAATTCATTATAAGTTAAATCGCATACCTCTTCTTGATCTGACTGATCAAGATTATCGGCCATTAAATACAAGTTGGTGACTTCCTCCTTTTATATTTCTAACGAATCTGAAGCTGAGTCTGCCCAAAAAGCTCTCTGAAATCTCTTCTTGCCCTTATTCACATTTACTTTCTCTTCTACCTTCTCCTTGCTATGAGTGACTTTTATATTTGGGCAATTCGATTTTAAATGTCCAAATTTTCTGTATTCGTAGCAAATTACATCATTAGAAACTTTAACATTCTTATTGAATTTACCTCTGTTTCATTACTGGCGTCTCATCTACTTCCTTTTAGGAAAACTTTTGAATTGCCTAGTCATCAAGGCAATGTCGTTCTCATCCTCAGGTTGTAACTGATCACTCTTCGAGTCCACTTTCAGTGCAATATTCTTCTCCTTTTGCTGTTTACCTGCATCAATCTACCTTTGACTCACTCCTTGCTCGTAAGCAATTAGTGATCCAAGAAGATTATTAATATAGTAAACATTTAAATCCTTAAATTATTTAATAGCAGTTATTTTAGCATCATAAGCAGGAGGCAAACAACGAAGAATTTTATTAACCATTTTAACATTCGTTAGTTCCCTACCTAATGCATGCAAAGAAGTGAATATCTGAGTGAATCTTATATATATGTCAGAAATAAATTCATTGAGTTTCATACGAAATAATTTATAGTCATGTAATAAGATATTTAATCTAAATTGCTTTACTTCATTAGTCCCTTCGTAAGTAATACAAAGTCTATCACAAATGTCTTTTTTCACTTTTACAAGTGGAAACCCGCTTGTAATCTTCTGATTTAAGTGCACAAAAAAAATATTTAAATATTTTGCATTTAGTTGTGCTAAGTTACGTTCTTCTATTATATAGTCAGTAAATGGTGTTTTAACTCTAATGTCATCAACTAATCTAGTTGGCCTAGTATATCCGTCTTGAACTAGGATCCACATACGATAATCAAGTTATTGCAAAAATGTCTATATGCGTGTTTTTCAAAAATCAAAAAGGATATTGTCAAATAACAGAGTTCTAGTGATCGAATACCCTTCTGGTGTGTTTTAGTTTCCAAAAATAGTCATTCTCATTTTTCAAAAAGTAATATAAACTTATGATTTTGAAATAAAACTCTGATACCATTTGTTGATTCTTTATTAGATTGTTAAACCTAAACTAATGTCCCAAGGCTAATCAAGTGGGGGGTGAGGGGTGGGGGTGAATTAGTAATTTAAAATTTTCTCTTTAATTTTAAATTTGAAAACCATTGATTCTCGTAGCAAGTTAATTAAAGTTTTGAAATACCTTTTCAACCACAGAAAAAGTCACTTGCGTAAATAAAGATAGAAATTAAAAGACACAAGGATTTATAGTGGTTCGGTCAAACTCGGCCTATATCCACTCCCCGAAGACTCTCTCTTCAGGTAGCACTATTACCAAAGTGTCTCTCCTTTTGCCCCCACAACAAGGCGGAGAAGCCTTTACAAATCCTCTCTTCCACCAATCCCCGGTGCGGCAGAGAACCATCGTCCTTTCACACTCTCCAAGTGTCGGTAGAGAATCGTCGTTTGTTCACACCCTCCAAGTGTTGGCAAAGAACTGTCATCTATTCACACCCTCCAAGTGTTAGCAGAGAACTATCGTCTGTTCACACCCTCCAAGTGTCGGCAGAGTACCAGATCTACTTAAAAAATCTTCTCACGAGCAACTAGAAAGATAAGAAGAAGAGTGATAACCAAAATCACAAAGAGATCCTTACCTTTGAGTAACCTTGTGAATCATTCACACTCCATTTGTAAGAAATCTCTCTTAAACACTCTCTCACACTCTCTTTTTCAATTGCCCTTGAAAAATCACAAAAAGCAAGATTTTTTCACGTCAGTTTTAGTGGATCTTTTATCCCAAAAACACCAAAAATCATCTAAAAATTTGAAATTTTCAATTTCAAGCATACAAAATCGTACAGTACAATCGTATGTTCGTACGTACAAATTGTTTAAAAACTATGCGTACAAACCTTATGTGAATCAGTCGAAATGATTATGTACACGATGATCGTCCCGTATGAATCCAGTTCGTTTGGTACGAACAGTTAGAAAATTTTTCTTCTTCGTCAGGACGAAGAGGAACCCATCCATTTTGTACCTTGGACGGCGTACGTACGATGATGACATCGTACGGTACGAACCGTTCAATATTTTTTGGGTTGATGGTAAAATAAATGAAAAAATAGAAAGAAAAGAGAGACTTTTAAGCAAACGGTAAAGACCCGCGCCATCGATCTTAGATCTGGGCGTATGATTTTAAAATTTGAAGACCCGCACCATTGATCTTAGATCTGTGTTGATGGTTTTAAAATTTGAAGACCCCAGGCCGTCGTATTTTAGATCCGGCCGGGATGGTTCCAAATCGAAGACCCTACGCCGTTGACCATAGGTCTGGGTAGGAATAAATTATAACAAACGCCATCCCGATTTCTCCTTTGGCGGGGAGGGGACGCCGGGAGGCTATCGAAGTTTCCTTAAAATTTTAGAGGGCAATTCAGTTTGAATATTAAATAAATAATTAGGTTAATTAATGTTTAGTAAAATTAATCAAAATAATTGATTAATTTGGGAATAACTAACATCATAAATGAAAGTTTCATGTATTCAGGATAAGCGAATAACTCAATATATCATCATCATCATCTTAATGACGAACAAGGATGAAAAGGTGAATCAAATGAGTACCATAAAATGATGTATTTATATGATCTTTGATTAACCTCATATCTTGCATTTACAAACTCAATGAATTGGGCACATCTCCTAGTATGAGCAAATTCCTCATATGTATGTCAATTTGTTATTTTATAGGTCAATAGAAAATTAATATGTCATCATTAAATATATTATTTAGGTATTATATAAAAAATCACTTTTAACCTTTATTTTCACTTTACATAATTTTTTGATTACAAGACTTGTAATTTAGGACTAAATTAGAATTAAGCAAGGGTTCATACTAGATTAGTTCAGTTACCTAGGTTCTAGAATAGTAAATGTCACATATCAGACTCGAGGACTCACCCAACATACTCGCTTCTGAAACTCACACATAGGACTCGTCCCCAAATTGTGGGCTACACTTTGAGTAGAAATTTAAGTTGATGGTTAATTAGGCTTCATATTTGAAACAGTTTATTACTACTTTCTACAACAGCTTTTTAGACTTCATTTGGGGCGGCTTCATTTATGTTTCTTAAAGCAGCTTTTGAGTACAAAAATTTTAATTTTTTTACTAAAAAACTGATTTAAGAAACATAAAGAAAACAGTCCCATAATAAGCCTTAGTACGAAAATTTCCTAAAAGCAATGAAAAACCTACTTTTTTTCTCAACTAAATGTTTCTTAAATTGTTACATATTTTTTAAAATAAAATATAGTTTGATCGAAAATATATAATTAAATTTGCACTGACATTGATATGTAGCAAATCTTTTTAAAAATTTCATCATAAATGCTTACCAGGCTTTATTAATGATTGTTCTTAGCTTCCATTGCATATTCATAACTAACATGCTTCTCTTTTTATAGGTTTTAGTTGCATTTCTTTGTCAAGATCTGTGACCCTGGCTTATTTTGCTGTATAAATGCATATGATTTGTTGTATTAATATTTATACTAAGTACTACAATAATAAGATCTAATATAAATTTTGATGCATATGCTAGCAAATTAGCAAGATTTGGCTAGCTGACATAATTGAAGACAAGAAGATTAGATTTAATTACATTTTAAATCATTATGTGTATCATGTTGTAGATTATAGATTTGGATTAATGGCTTGAGACTTCAGCTCGTTTGGGACGGCTTTTTTATTGCTTCTTAAAGCAGCTTTCTAGTAAAAAAAAATTAATTTTTGTACTAGAAAGCTACTTTAAGAAACAGTAAGAAAACCATTCTAAACAAAACCTTAGGCTTTGTTTCAGATAGCTTTTTTATTACTTTAAGAAATTGTTTCATAAAGCAATAAAAAAGCTATCACAAACGAGGCCTTAATTGCAGACTTGAAAACTTTAATCATGATATTTTACTAAAAAATAATCAAATTATATCTTATAGATGCTTATAAATTTGCTAAAAACATACTAATGATTATATACTTTAATGAATTTATTGACTTTGGGATATTTATCTTAGGATTGCTTTATGGTTGTTGAAACTATTTTGTGTCCCCTTCCTTGCTTACAATTACTACTTTAAATTAAGCCTAAAATTCTAACATATATGATCTCCACATTTAAAGTCTTCAAAATCTATTAAAGTAATTTTTGGTTGATTTAATTTTTGGATATTTTTTTCGAGATGGTTTTATAACAAATGGAATATTGTCACAACCTGATCCAATATAGCCTTTATATCTCTCAATAAATATCATAATTTAAATGTCGAAGATTCAAATCAATGGCTATAAATTCATAATCAAATCATAACTTAATGATTTTTCATTTCATTTTTTTTTTTTCAATTTCTCTCCAATACAAACAAAAGCCTGAAGGTGTAAACAATGGCTTTTTAATCATAACAAAACTGCTTCATATGAAGCCATTATTTGGCTTTGAAGTAAACAAGAGCTAGTTTGTAAAACTCTTTAATGAGAATAATTATTTTGCTCAGTGAGATTATCAGTAGCACTGTCACAGGAGAGTCTCCAAATGATAGCAAGATCGTATAAAATTGATGGTGAGCAGCTACAGGCTTTCTAGAACCTCAGAGACCTTCCTGGAAATCCTGTCATGGATAGATTCCTGAAGAAATTCAAGCAAAATGAGAAGTTTTTTCAATGAAATTATCAATTTTCCCATGTAACATCAATATACCTCCATCGTTGGTATCTGAAACTTCGAGTTTGTGATGGTCTCGTAGAGGAAAATGTACCTGTCATGGATGGCACATGATGATCAGTTCCTTGAAAATATTTAGGCCTTGTTTGAGACGGCTTTCTTTCTGCTTCTTAAAACGACTTTTTAGTAAAAAAATAAATTTTTTGTACTAAAAAGCCGCTTTACGAAGTACTGATAAAGCCGTCCCAAACGAAATCTTAATGACATAATGTGATAAAAAAAAGAACCAAGAACAGTACAAGGAGATGAATTGAAAGGTGACAATAGAATTAAAAAAAAAAACTATGGAAGGATTCAAGTTCCATGTTAAGTGAAAAAAAGTGGCATAGAAAATATAGAAGAGAAGAATGGCTGCATTGCAGAAGTTGAAGAACAAGATACCATCATATCAGTTATTTCTAGCAGAAAACAATAAGCAACAAAATTGAAAACCTGCTTTAAATTTATCAGGCCAAAGAAGAGGTAACAGCTCCTAGCATAATTAATGGAGCAGAAAATAAACTGATGAAGTAATCTATTCTCCACATACTGCTTGTCCTTGGGAATATTTGTGGTTAAGAAGACAATAAATATTCATTCCCAATAGGCTATTGAGTTCCTCCTACGTTTCTTTGCCCTTAGTTGAGGGGTCTGATTAGTGATTAGATTCCCAAAACCTTAAGCTTCTTTCAGATGTCCATTAAAAAACAATAAGCGTTGGAGTTAATAAAAAGCTCATTTGTTTAAAGCTCGATAAGCATAAACGAGCCAAATATGAATCAAACACAATCTAAACATGAACGTCTATTCTTTTAAATGATTTAATCTTGAACATAAACAAAAAACCTCTAATCGAGCTCTAACCAAGCTTGACCAAGCTAATAATAAACAAGCTAAAACATGAACAAGCACCTACTCGGCTTGTCTTGGTTCATTTGCAGCCCTATTTAAATGTAAAGGCTCGAAAAATTGGGAAATATAAATATCCATAGGGACTCTAAAAAATAAGAATGGTTAAAGTCTAAAAAAAGCAATACATAATGTAAAGAATTTAGCTTTTAATAATTTATATAATAAACTAGATACTAAGAATGGTTAAAGATATATATATATATATATATATATATAATTATATAAAAATTAATTATATTTTTTATGTTATACTATTTCAATATAATGACTTTGTTCATAAACAAAATATATTTATTCATGTTTGCAGTATTTTTTGTTTTAAATGTTCATGAACAAACTTGTTCATAAAAAGAATCATTTTATGAGCATGTTTGTTCGTGAAAGGGCTCATTGGGTAGGTCAAAAACACTCCCTATATATGTTTCCAAACAAGCTCTAGATGATTATTTGTTAGTAGGCTCGATAAAACTCATTTGTTTAAAGCTTGATAAGCTTAAATAAACCAAACACAATCCAAACATGAACATCTATTCTTTTAATGAACCAAGCTTGAACACAAACAAAAAAGCTCTAATCGAGCTCTAACCAACCTTGAACAAGCTAATAATAATCAAGCTCAAACATGAACAAGCACCCACTCGGCTCGGCTTAGTTCATTTGCAGCCCTATTTATATGTAAAGGTATGAAAAATTGCAAAATATATAGAGGCCCATAGAGAATCTAAAAAAGCAATACATTATGCAAAGAATTTAGCTTTTAATGATTTATATAATAAACTAGATACTAATATGGATGAAAGATATATGTATAAGTTAGTCAAACAAAGAGATATGAGAAGGATTTAATTCAAATAAAATGTATTAAGGATGTAAATCAAAACGTACTTTTTTTAGAAGAGGATATTCAATATATGTGGATGATATATTTTGATAAACTTAGCACCACAAATGTAAATAAAAATTTTTATTTTTATCGTTATATTAGTAAAATCGAAATTGAAGATGTTTTAAAAAAAATGAAGTATGAAAAAATAATAGGACCTAATAATATTCCAACAGAAATGTGGAAATGTTTAGAAAATCAAGGAATTTCTTGCCTTACTAATTTCTTTAATATAATATTTAAGACTAAAAGATATTAGATGACTGAAGAAAGTGTTTGTTGATTGCTATTTTTAGGAGTAAAATTGATGCATAAGACTGTGAATCATAGAGGAATTAAGTTAATGTGCCATACATTAAAATTATTGGAGAGAGTAATTGAGCATAAATTATGATGTGTACCTAACCTTTCTCAAAATTAGTTTGGATTCCTGCCAAGTAGGTTTATTATGGAAGTTATACATTTGTCGGGGGATTAATGGAGAAGCATAGAGAAAGTAAAGAGGATCAACCAATGATATTTATTGATTTGGAGAAAACATATAATAAAATTTCAAGAGAAGTTTCTGGAGGGTTCAAGGAAAAAAAAAAAAGAAAAAAAAGACTTAATAATGTTTATATTCAAGTCATTAAGGATATGCATATAAGAGTTATTACTAGAGCTCGAAAACAAGGTGGTTTGACCAAATATTTTCATTAATTTAGTTGGATTACATCAGTGATCTGCTTAAAGCTCATATCTTTTTGCTTTAGTCATGGATATTCTTACTAGACATTAACAAGATGATGTTGCTTTTTGCTGATGATATTCTTGTTGATAAGATTAAAGAGGGAGTTGATAAAAAACATGAATTATTGAGATCAACCATATAGTATAAAGATTTTCATTTGAGTAGATCTAAAAATGAATACATGGAGTGTAATTTTAGTAGTAATAGATCTAGTGGTATGATTGTGACACTAGGTGATCAAGTCATAAAAAGAGCACACGTTTTAGATATCTCGAGTTTATTGTTCAAAGTGATTGTGAAATAGATGAGGATATTATTAGTATAATTCAAGTTGAAAGGTTAAAGTAGAGGAATATATCGAACTTGTGTGATGGAAAATAACTTCTCAAACTAAGGATAAAACTTTATAAGATGGTGATACCTGTAATGCTTTATGGCGCATAATATTGGCTAATAAAAGATAAGCATAAAATTAAGTTAGGTGTTGCAGAGATAGGATGCTCAGGTGGATGAGCGACTTAACACAAAGAGACAGAATGTGAAATAAGTATATACGTGAAAAGTTAGAAAGGTTCAGTGGAAGATAAGATTAGAAAGAGTCACTTTAGATGGTTTTGTCATAGATCCAATGACTCTATTAGGAGAGTAGATGTATTAGATTCGGCATATATTAAGAAAGGTAGAGGTAGAGCTAAAAAGATTTGTTTAGAAAGTATTAAAAATGACCATTTAATTAGATTTAAATAAAAAATGATTTTTAATAAAACAAAATAGAAAAAAAAATTTCATGTAGCTCACACCATGTAGTGAGATAAATGCTTAATGTTGTTGATATTATTGTTGTTGTTGTTGCATTCCTACTTCTAGAAATAAAAGATGCAATATATGAGTATGTGTTTTCAAATGATAAGATAGACTAACAGTGCATGCATAAAATCATATAGTAATTTTCAACATCTGTTCAGAAACAGACAATTTGAATAAACCCGAATCCGAAACGGGTCGGGTTCGGATTCAACAAATAAACCCATTTTAAAAATCGGGTCGGGTTCGGGTTGACACAGCAACCCGAAATTGACACGAAAACTCATTTTTGACCCGAAAACGCGATATTGACCCGTTTTTGACTCGAAAATCCGAGATTGACCCGATTTTTTACCCAAAAACTAGCAATTTTGGGTCAACCCCGGGTCATTCGTGTCGGGTTGACCCGGACCCGAATTGGGTCGGGTTCGGGTTGACCCAAATAGTGCCGGGTCAGTTCCGGGTTCGACCCGAACCCGACTCGTCGACCCGAATTGACACCCCTACTGGGAACCAACTAACAATTATAAAAATATGTAATAACCGGTTTAATTGGCCAATTCAATTTAGCGGAACAACAAAGGCGGAACTGAGCGGAGACAGACGCGACCAGGAGCGGGCCGAATGCAAGCGCGGGCAGGTCTGGAGGGTTTGGTTCACAGTTTTGAGCGAAGGATCGCGTTCGCATAAGTAAAGTAACTACTCCTTATGTGAGAAATAGCATTCCATTTGTTCCTAGAGAAGAAAAATGCGAGAGAGAGTTCAGTCGAGAGGAAGAAGAAGGTTTGTTGATTTTTCCCATTTTCTGAGTAAATCCTTTCGTATTATCTCTTCTAACAGTGAGGGGTGTTTAATTAAAGGAAAATGAAGAGATTGAAAGCGGAAGAAAGAAATTTGGAAAGAAAGATGAAAGAATTTGAGAAATTTCTTCTAAAGTTTAGTTGATTCTCTGATAATGGAATAAAGACTAAGTGAATTATTAATTTCTTTTGATTTAGATATCAATTTATATTCTCATTTTCTAAATGAAGAAATTATAATTATAGGAAGAATTCAATTAAAGTAAGCATTGGTTCGATGGTTCAATAATGAAAGAAGGAGATTGGAGGTAAAAAATTATTAAAGTAGAAATTATATGGGAATAGTGAAAATGGAAAGATGATAATAATATATTGTATTTAAATTTAGATTGTAGTCAGGAAGATCGTCGCAAGAGTTGAAGGTTTGAAAGGAGTTGAAGTCAAAACATTCAACGTGGGTAATTACAATTGTTTAAAATTCCTTATTGTATTTCCATTCCAATTATGAATGTAGTATTTTATATAATTGTTGTAACTTATTTTTGGAAACTATTATGAGTAAAGCAATGTAAATTCAATTTCATAAATGATAGTAAATTAGACAAATATAGATTGTTATGATTGAAAATATACATTGACTATCTTAATAAATGAAGGTATATAGAATTAATGATATAGAAGGTATATGAAAATGATGATATAAGAAGCATAAATGAATGAGAATAAATGAAAAAGGGAAAAGGAAATGAATGCAAATTTCAAGAGTTCACTCCCGTATGGAACTGACTGGTGAAGCAACGTACCCGTGCACGTTAAATGAAAATAAAAATGGTTATACCTTTATTGATACATTTAGATGTTGCTCCTGTACAAATTGAATTGGAAAATAAATAAATGATAAAATTTTTGAAATGTATTGTATATGAACTATATAAAGGAATGAATGAATGAAACGGAAATGAAATGTATCTAAATGTTATATGATTGTTTATATAAGTTCTAATATTGTATACGAAATGAGAAAAAGAATATGCATTGTATTTTGTGCATGTTTAAATGTTATATTATATAAAGATTACCCATTTAGTTTACTTTGTAAACTCAACATCCAACTAATAATTTCAGGTTAAGTCTCAAGAAAAATAGAAATAACTGAAAGAGAAGAGGAATTCGTCTACAGAAGACGACGCACAAATGCAAACAGGTAATATATAATTGATGTAGTGATTTTAGTTAAGTTGTATTAATAGTTTATGAAAATTTTTTAATAGCAGCTTTTTAGAATTTTTGAGAAGTTGCATGTTAATTTGCTTATGTAATTTAATGAAATGTTTCAACCTTCCAACTGTTTGTCCTCGCCTCATTAGTTCGCATCTCTAGGCCGGGTCATGACAAAATATAAATTTAGTAACGGAATTTGTTCCACTTTAAAAAGTTAAAAATATTATGAAGACAATTATGGTATAATAATGAGAGATGCTTTTAAGTGTTGTCTTCATTTCTACTCAAATTAATATAGGTTCTAGTTTATTTCTCCACACTTATCCAATTTATTTTAGTTTTCTCATTAATTTTAGTTAGCAATCTAATTAGATGCTTACCATACATAATTATCCATTCAAAAAGATGATGCATTTCTACGAACTAATTTATATAAAAAAAAAACTCTTAGGATTTATCATACCATCAAAATATAGATGCTTCGAATTTTACACTCCTGCTTATTTCATCATCCATATCATGTATTTTTCAACTGTTATGACCATAAACCTCACCAATATGAACTCAATAAAGGCTATTATTTTGAATATTTCTACCATGCTGCTGTTTATGATTTATTATGATTAGCATGTAAATGTACAGAATAAAGTTAACTTCTTGTTTATTAGAATTGTTGTAGATAGCGATTGAATATTTAACATTATTTAAATTCGTCCACTAACCTGATTCATGTAATTCCTTATTTACTGTCATTAAGAAACCATTCAATTATTTTGTAGATTTTCTAAAATTACATCCCACTGCCGATCTCTTACCACTCATTGAAGACTTTACAAGAAAACCTAAACCTTGATATCAAATTGATGTTGGCCATTCTAGTGATTTCTAATGTAGGTCAAACAAGTGATGCCAAGTTCTGTACTCATTTTCGCATGCAAATTTTGCAAAAAAAAAAAAGCAATATATCAAATCTCAATTCTCAAGAACTATTCACCACATTCAATAAAAATGAATAAAAAGTTAAAATCCAATCCCACTACAACAACAACATCAAGCCTTTGTCCCACTATGTGGGGTCGGCTACATGAAACATTTTTCGCCATTGTGTTTGGTTAAAAGTCAAATTCTCATTTAAATCTAATAAAGAAAGATCATTTCTAATATTTTCTAACCAATCCCACTGTAAAATATAAAAAGGTTGATAGGGAAATGACTATATTAAAGTGGCAGAATGAGTAGCGCATTGCGAAAATAGGATAGTAAAAAAAGAGACAGTTTGAGTATGTACAATGAAGGGTAAAAGAAGCACCAATAAAATGAGTGGGCAATAAATGATAATAGCTTTGGAAGGAAAAACTATAGACTAAAGAAGACTGAACATTGTGCAAAGAGAATAGTGCCATCAAATGTTCATACCTCCCTAAGCACTCAATATGAATGAATGAAGGAATATTCATAAAGCCAACCCAAAATAATAAGGATAAGGTTGAAGATGACGACTTGTTCTCTATTGCTGGTGTTATTTAGATCAAGATAACTATTCAGGCCATTTCCATTTATTTCATAATGTTGCATTCAATCTTGTTAAGATTTTTGAGCTAAGAACAAAGATAGTGAACTCCTTAAAAGTAACATTCCACTTCATCCAATAAAGACCAAACCCATTTCAGTTCAGATAACTTACTTGGGTACCAAAGACTTCTCTAGCAATTATCACCCAAAAATTTATGGTCTGTTTGTGACGGTTGTAGGATTTTGTAAAGGTGGTTATGAAGTTGTGGAGAAAATAGCTTTTTCGAAGCTGTTGTGTATATTACAAATATGTCCTTTTAAAAAAATTTGAATAGATGCTTCCTTTAAGCTACCACATATTAGCAACTATGGTTATAAAAAACAGCTTCCCACTACAAAATTTTTAGAAAGCAACAAGGAAGCTACAAGAAAGAAGTAGCCAAATGGAAATTTGGTTGTGGTCTGAAAAGCAAACAATGAGAAAGTTATCACAAACAGACCATTAGTGCTCAAGTCAGGCATTGGATATGCAACCAAAACTACAACAAGTGCTCATGTTTACACTGCATGTATAGCCAAACAATAACAGCCAATCATGTCCTAAAAGTGTTACTTTACAAGACTGAGATGTGAATTACATGGATGAAGCAGAATTGTCTCACAAATACTTTGTTTTCAAATTTCAATAGGTAATGTAATCAATCATATGAAACAAATTTTCTTAACTATATATTACTAATTTTTAAAATTAATGTTTTGTGATTTGGATCATCTTAAACATATCTTCATGAAATGAAACCATAATGAATGAGTCATGCCTAGCACATCAAGAGTGACACAACATGCCAAAAGCACAATGGGTAAACAAATAGCTCATCACATATTGTGTGGCACCTTATACACATACATTATGCCTAACACATCATAAGCTGAGTGGCACACCATATTGGAAGCATGAGGGATTGAGAAACAACACATCGCAACTTGTGTGGCACCCCTATCAAAAGTGTGTGAGGTGTCATACCAAGTCCATAAGGTCAGGCCTAGAGTAAGACACCCCACCCTTTGAGTGTGAGGCATTAATCATCATAGAATATGCTGATTATTATCAACTTAAACAATAGTTTCTCATCATGTATATATATACAAATCATAAGAGCTCTAGTTAGTAAAAGTGCCGCTTCAACTAGTGCTTTGAAAAGAAAAAGAAAATATTGTGCATCACATAATACTTAGTGCTCTGAAAATGCTGCCCCATACAATGCCAATGTAATCAAGGTTTTAACAATTAATATTGAATTGCTTCATTAGAATTTAGCTTTTTATGCATCATAATTGTCTCTTTTTTCTTGCAATAGGAATATACTTGTTTTGCTTTAAACCTCAGAAGAAGCGACAAGATTCTCAACTTCAAACGTATAGCAGTTTGCTGTTTTAGGGATTTGTTACACGTCATTTAGCATTTGTAACAACGAACAAGAATTGATCATCAGATTACAGGCTCGGCTTTTGTTCATCCTAAATGCAGTCAATCAATTTGCAGACAATTTTATTTATATTATCATTTTTTTTTAATGTTTGAACTTTGAAGAGTGCTGACATGTGAACTGGTAGTTGGCCAGTATTAACTGTAATTAGGCCTGAGCAATGTTTTACTACTAATTATCTGAACTTGCAGGATCTAATCCGTTTTCCAACAGTACAATTCATTATTTTTAAATTTGTAACTAGGTTTTAATTACATATGGTTCATGGCTTCTTCAACCCAACCAGATGCAAAGCAGGCTGACCGAATGGTCAGATCACAAGATTATTAGATTTGCATTGAATTCAGGTTAGCTTAATTTTGAGGAGTTGAGGTGTCTCAACTAGGATATTATCATTTCAAGTTCAACAATGCTTACTTGAATTCAACAACTCAACAGCCCTAACCTGCAAGCAATATAGGCTAACTACCAAATCCTTATACATTGCATTTCAAAGTATTACCAGATACGTTGCACAATATAACGATAAGATGGAGGCATACCGCCATGCAAGTTCACAAATAAGATCTTCTGGTGCATCTGGGAGAACCTGAAAAAGTGAATTCATTGTTACGGTATAAAATGACTCCATTTTCTTGAGTTTCAAACGAATATACAAATAGCAATGGAATACCTGATCTTCATACGGATTACAATGGTCCTTGAACCATAGCCTCAAGAATTCCTGATAATCATGCATTGGGACAAGTTACACGTTCTATTTGAATGTGAAAATCATGCTAATCAAGTCAAAAAAATGTGATCCAAATACGAGAAAATTTCATAGAAACAGATAAATCCCTGCCAGGCAGGGTTATGTCCAATTATTTAAGCTTCGTTTGGGATAGCTTTTTTACTGCTTTCTAAAACGGCTTTTTAGTACAAAAATTTCTAATTTATAAAATTTTTGTACTAAAAAGCTAGTTTAGAAAGCAACAAAAAAGCTGTCCCAAACATAGCCTTATAGTGGATATCAAACATAACTAGAAACATACCTTGTCGACATTTTCAGGTTCAAGACAAGCATTAAATCGCTCCTGATAAGAACTAGCAATCCAGTATCTGCTGGAATCAGGCGTATGCACCTACACAGTAGCAAAAAACAGTATCATAATAAACAAAACCGTTGCTTATACTTAAGTCTCATAATGGTGAATGTGTTTATGAACAGACATGCTTGTCCATGGAGATGGACAATTCTGAACAGCTGCTGCATCCATGCCTGGCATGTTTCACACACCAAAACCTAGGAGACTGCGTTGTGTTGTAAAGTACAGCTGTGAACTTTTTCCCCATGAAAATTGCAGTAAATTTCAGGAATGCTACAGGTATAACTTGCAAAGATATGTAAGCGTTATAATCATTTAGATATATTATTTTAAATGTTCTATTTAATTTTTTTTTTGTACATTTAGTTGGCCAAACTTGATTTATGATAAGATTATTGTAAACTGCCAAAATCTAATTTTATATCATGTTATACATCTCTTTGATTCATTAAGAATATCATTAAGTCATTATACAAATCTCCTATATCATATCACCCCTTCCTCCACTTGCTTTTTTATTCTCTCCCTCTCTCTTTCTCTTGCCTCCGTAACCTTGCACGTTTAGATCCCACCACATATCTCCTCCTCGCTGCCCTCTGCTAGATGTAGCAACCCATTTTAAATGCAGATTATCACGCCTTACCTTCCTAATTTATTGATCTTTATACCCTATCTTGGCTTTTGCCAAGCAAGCAACACTTAAGGTCACACAATCAAATGATGATTCACCTTTCAATTGGTTTCCTTCCAACCCACCATTGATTCTACTCACCAATGCCTCACTCTCAAGGGATGCCCCTACCTACTTTGCCTATCAGATCGTGGAAGGTTTATCAGAGGCATGGCCGCCGATCTACGGCCACGATCGAGTCATTGCACTTTTGATTTATGTCATGTATTGTTTTATTTTTGTGTCGTTGTATTTTGTTTTATTTTATGTTATTTCATTTCCCGTAGTACCCTTCTAAGTAAAGGGGTGTCGAATGTAAGCCCCAAGGGCATTTTCGTCTTTTATTTCTTGAGTCTCATGTACTAGGCTATTTATAACCCGTAGTTTTATTTTCAAGTAATGAATGATTATTTTAGAATTGTGTTTTTCTTGTTGGAGTTCCGGAGAGAGCTTGAGAGATTGGAGAGATCCCTTGGAGGGAGAGATTGGCGCATTACCCACCAACCTTGGAGACGGTCGAGTTCATGGTTTTAATTCTCTACCTTCCCTTCCACTTAGCCGTTGGCTCCCCATCTCACCCGAACCCCTCCATCCCTCCCCGTTAATTCCCTTTCATCCTCTCGGCCAAGCACCACCCACCGGCCCCTCTACCCACTCCCCTCCCTTTTCCCTCCCAAAACCTCATGCCTAATTTTGAATTGGTTAAATTTTGGATGGAGTTTTGAATTCCAAATACTTAATTTGAAATTCAAAATCTTGCACAATTTACCAAATCTATTTTAGGAAAGTTCCTAAATTAAATCCCTTTGAATTTCAAATTCATATCGGATTTATTAATACACTTTCCTAATTCCTAAAGCCTTAAATAAGTAATCCAATTCATCTCCCCAATCTCCTCCCTCATCAAGAATTGCGCAAGATTCTTAAACAAAACATTGCATTTTTATGTAATCCTGCATCATCTGGTATCAGAGCATGATATGCTCTTGCATGTGTTAGGATTCCTGGTAGTTTTCTTTTCTGCATTTTTAGTCTTTGCATTTGTGACATTTAAAATTGTTAGGTTGCTGCCCTAGTTATTTTCTCCATCATTTTGCATCACATAATTGTGATTTAATCATATAATTTGCTTCCCGTTACATCCTAGTCTCGTTAGGTGTCCCGTAGTAGATCCCAATGGACCCGGAACAAATAGGAAGGACCTTAGACATGTTGGTTGGTCAAATGAACAACATTAGCCAGCAACTCAAGGAAAACCAAGCCGACCTAGCTGAACTTTGTAGGAACACCACTGAGAGGTTTGACACACTTGAGCGAGCTAGAGAGCACCCGACTCCCTACACCCCATCTAGACCACCATCTATGTATGGGGATGAAACCTACCCAGATGAGAGGCAACACCGTGCCAATCATCGAGCTCCTTACCACAAACATGACCCACGTCATGATCTAGACTTGGATGAGAGGCAGCACCATGCCAATCATCGAGTACCTTACCACGGACATGACCCCCGTCATGATCCTGAAGCACTCATGAAAAATATTAAAGTTGACGCTCCTACCTTTGATGGCACACTCAATCCCCAGCTCTTCCTGGACTGGGTCAAAGGTATGGACAATTTCTTCAAGTGGTATGACATCTCCGAGGCTAGGAAGATCAATTTTGCGGAGATGAAGCTCGCGGGTAGGGCGAGTCAGTTTTGGGCCAACTTAGAGAGCCTTAGGGAAGCTAGGAACGATTACCCCATTTCTTATTGGTCGTCCGTGAAGCGGGAACTCAAGCAGAAGTACTTGCCTCCGTCGTACTTCCCCCGACTATTAGACAGGTGGAATAGGCTGACTCAAGGCAACAAACCAGTAAAGGAGTACATCGCCTCTTTTGATGACTTCTTGATTCACTGCAAAGGGGAGACCTCTACCACCCCCGTGCAGATCTTATCTATGTTTTGTACCGGGTTGCGAGAGGATCTTCACAATGAGTTGTTTGCCCGGAACGTCACTACACTGGAAAATGCCTAGAGCCTAGTGCTTGATTTAGAGGAGACCCGTTCACAGTACCCGAGCCGTTCACATGACTCTAGGACTCCTACATATTAGCCGGTAATTCCACCCCGCACACTTCTACTATCCGACCCACTCCTGGGAGCACGACCCGACCACCCACGGGTCCTCCGGTACCTCGATCTGATTTTAGAAACAAACCTCCCACCTCAGATACCCCTTGGTCCAGTCCCGGGACCAAGTGCTTTCGATGCCAGGGGTATGGGCATATCGCTTCTCAGTGCTCCAGTCCTTATAAAGTCTCGATCGTCGAAGACATCACTGAGGACGATCTCGAGCCTGAGGTTGATCAGATCCACCAAGTCAAGGAAGAAGGCGAATACTTAGAGGAGGATGACGACACTGCAGTCCTCCATTGCCTTCAGAAAATGGATACCTCTCCCATTTTCGTGGTGAGATGTGTGCTATCCCACCAGACACCCACGAATGACTAGCGTATGACCTCGATTTTCCACACATACACCAAGATCAAAGAAAAGAACTATAAAGTCATCGTGGATAGTGGTAGCTGCATAAATGTTGTTTCCTCCAGGCATGGTATCCCAGTTAGGTCTTTATGCCATTCCTCACCCCAACCCATATAAGGTAGCTTGGGTCAACTCCACTGCCTTTAAGGTGAAAGAATGAAGCCACATGTCCATCTCCTTTGCCACTTATAAGGAGAATGTTTGGTGCGATGTACTGACGATAAATGTTGGACAAATCTTATTAGGTCGTCCCTGGATCTATGATAACGATGTCCATATTTTTGGGCGTTCGAACACCTGCATGTTCAAACATGCGGGCAAAAAATTAAGCTTTGCCATGCAGCCCCGGGTTACGGATGACTCGAAATCCAACCCAGCTAAAGCTAAGAAAGGTGTGAACCTTGTCACCGCCAAGGTTCTGACTGCTGAGGTTGCTCTAGGCGCACCCCTCTACGGCTTAGTAGGTCGTGAGATTCCCACCGAATCTGACGAACCTATCCCTCAGGAAGTCCAGCCTATTTTAGGCAGTATGCTGATATCTTTCCCGATGATCTTCCAGTATTTACCACCTCTTAGAGACTTCAGCATGCCATAGACTTCGTCCCTGGAGCCTCCCTTCCAAACCTGCCACATTATCGCATGAATCCCACGGAACATGCCAAACTTAAGAAGCAAGTCCATGAGTTACTGCAATAAGGCTTCATTAAGAAGAGTCTGAGTCCCTGCGCGGTGCCAGCCCTTCTCACCCCAAAGAAGAATGGATCGTAGAGAATGTGTGTTGATAGTCGTGCTATTAACAAGATCACCGTCAAATATCGATTCCCTATTCCGAGGCTTGATGATATGCTCGATATGATAATGGGTGCCACACTATTCTCCAAAATTGATCTAAAAAGTGGATACCACCAGATATGGATCCAACCTGGAGATGAGTGGAAAACTGTCTTCAAGACCAAGGATGGTCTCTACGAGTGGTTAGTCATGCCTTTTGGGCTAAGTAACGCCCCTAGTACCTTCATGAGGATCATGACTCAAGTGTTGCGTCCATTTATGGGAAAGTTTATCGTCGTCTACTTTGACGACATTCTTATCTACAGTCAGTCGATTAACCAGCACTTAGACCACTTAAGACAAGTTTGTGAGGTCTTAAGGAAGGAGCATCTACATGCCAATTCGAAGAAATGTACATTCCTTGTAGAATGCATCATCTTTCTGGGCTTCATCGTATCAGCCCAAGGGGTTTCTGCAGACTCCGAGAAGGTGAGGGCCATTGTGGAGTGGCCTGTCCCTCAGAACATCCGGGAAGTCCGCAACTTCCAGGGATTAGCCACCTTTTATAGGAGATTCATTTGAAATTTTAGCATTATCGTATCTCCTATCACTGACTGCTTGAAGAAGGGTGATTTCCACTGGACCCCGGCCGCCACCAGAGCTTTTGAAGAGATCAAACAAAAGATGGTGGAAGCCCCAGTGATGAGACTTCCTGATTTCTCCAAAGTCTTCGAAGTGACTTCCGACGCTTCGAGGGTCGGAATTAGAGTCCTCTCCCAGGAAGGTCACCCAGTAGCTTACTTCAGTGAAAAGCTTAATGATATTCGGCAGCATTATTCCACGTACTACAAAGAGTTTTACGCTGTGATCCAATCTCTTCGTTATTGGCGACACTACTTGCTCCCGCAAGAGTTCGTCATCTTTTCGAATCATGAAGCTCTGCATTATATTAACTCCCAGAAGAAATTAAATGCACGTTATGGTCGTTGGGTTGAGTTCCTTCAGGAATATACGTACAACCTTAGACATAAGGCGGGAGTTGAAAATAAAGATGTCGATGCTCTCAG